TATTTTGTAGGCAAATGCAGCTGTTGATTTGCACTCAGGAATGTCCCATAGACAGCCATGATGTCTATATGTCCCGTAGACGGAATGACCAATTTTAATTGGAGGAAGACACCGGGAAAAAGTCCGTTATCTTTTCAAATAGTGCCTTGGGATCTTTAATGTCCCCCAGAACAGACAGAGGAGTTAATCAATTATCTGATAGATGCCACCTCTACCAATGAGCACAACCCCAGGGTTCCATTGGACTATATGAATTCAAAGTTCTGACCTGGGGCTTCAACCCACATCCTTCTGATCCAAAGGAGAGAGAGCTACAAACTGGGCCAGGCTGACACCTAAAGGAACAAGGAATAATAATAATAATAACAATAATAATAATCCTTATATTTGGTACAGGAACAAATAGCACAACTACATATTTAACATAAACCAAACATATTCAAATTTAGTGCATTTTTTGGAAAGTTAACTTTGAATTGGCTTTGAAGAACAATGTTCTGCTTTTGTTGCATTCTTTGTTGGCAATGGGGTTGAAAATTGCTCGAACAGGAAAACCAGGGCAAATAATGAGAGGGTGCGAAAAAGCATCTCGGAACATAAAGCTTGTCTCGTAAAGGTGAGCTGTGCCTTGGGGCGGTGGGGGAGGGGGCGGGAGTCCTTCATAATATGCATTTACGTTCTAAAGTGCTATTCCCACCATTTACCCTGCAGTTTTCATGTTTACGCTTTTTTTTCTAACTCTATCGTCTTTCTCTGCTTCGCTCTACAATTGTAATATCTTTAACATTCTGTGTATTATGCACATTCCAGATATGACTTCAAGGTTCTGGACTACATTGTAAGTTAGCATTGTCTTTGTTCACTGCCCTACAGTTTATGTTTCAGTTTATAAGTGGTCATATCCCTCAGCTTCAAGAAATCTAAGAAGAGGGTCTAAGTCATGAAAGGAATTTACAGCTATTCCATGGAGTTTTACTACAGTATGTTAAAAATGTCTATGTGCATTGATTTATGATCAAATGGATTTGAAATGCAACCTTGGTAGGTTGACCAAAGGCGGGGTTTGTTTTAAATAATAATTACAGATGACTTCTTGGGCTTGAGGCTAATGTGATTTGATACATGGATGAATCATGTAGTGCATCAGTCCTCGGAGATGGTATTAATGCATGGAATCTATATTGTGGGGAGGGAGGAGGGGGGCGAACACAATAAAGTGGAGCAATTGAACAAGTGCCTGGCCAGCAGCATTGCATAGTTTACTTTAAGAAAGGAGGTGAAAGGCCAAGTGAAACACCACGATACTAAAGAGATCCTGTGAAGACAAGTGGGATAACAACTGTCATTGACCCACTGCTGTCAACAGACTTCATTTAACACATTAAAATTGTGTCCTCAGATGTGCACTGGAAATGTTACAATTGCATAAACTGTAGGCATTTTAGGAGTTCCACAGTGCCTTAGCACCAAGATATTTGGACTAGGAGGCTCAGGTTTGACTTCTGGTCTTTAACACCCATGCAATAAAGGGAAGATCAGCCAAGATTCTCAGTCCTCATGTCTGCCTTGTGAACATTAAAACATTTTAGGGAGAGCAAAAGGCAATGACAGTTTTGTATTTTTCTTATTTAGCCAAATCAGCCCCATGTGAGTTGAGTGGAAGGGTGTCCACATCCTAGAGAGCTGTGAATGAGCAGGAACTATTAAAAACTTGCATGTGAGGCATTTTTTCCTATATTTAAATGCCTTGGTATCCTTTCTCTTGCTCATTGTACAGTATTCCCTAGTTTCAGGATGAAATGTTTGGCATTCTCTAAGCAGAGAAGCATGAACTTTGCAAAATCAACAGCATGTGCTCTGCATAAGGCTGGATTTTCAACAAGCAAACCAGTATATTGCCATTAGTTTGAAATTTAGTGAACTGCAGCATTTCAGCCAAACATGTTTTTTTTCTCTCCTTTGTCACCTTTGACTGAGAAACGTAATGTTATCACTTTAGTCTCCATCAAAGAAGCTTGTTGACCAAATGTGAGATACAATCAGAATGGGTTGCGACCTGCACTGCAACCCATTCTGATTTATTCATTGCTCAGTCCCTGTTGGCAAGCTGGGACGACATAATAATAACAATAATAACAGTAATAATAATAATCATCCTTGCATTTGATATAGTGCCTTATCACGTCTTCGAGATGTCTCAAAGCGCTTCACAGAATATACTGTAAAGTGAATTGATTGTACATTATGTGGGCGAAATGCGCTAGCCAATTGCAGATAGCAGTGTCCCACAAACAGTCATGGATTGAGTGACCAAACAGTCGTCACCATCTTTAAGTACTTGAATTAATTACCAAGGTTGTTTATAAATTTGTTGAACATTTTTAAAAAAAAGTTGTGTCATTAAATAAATTGTATGTTTTAGAAGGTAACATTCAATGAATTGAAATTGTTAGATATTTATCTTGCATTTTAAGGTTCACTTTTTCCGATTCCCAAGGGCCAAGAGGGACAGGAGTGTAACCTGCTCCTAGCCTTCTACATAGAAACAGGAGTAGGCCATTCATCCCTTCAACAACAACAACAACAAGATTCCATTTATAGAGCGCCTTTCACGTCGGGAGGACGTCACAAGGCGCTGGACACTTGGGTCAGGCCTGTTCCGCCAGTCAGTTAGATCATGGCTGTTTGTACCTCAACTAATTTTGTCAATTCCAATTTCCTGCTTTTTCCCCATATCCCTTGATACCCCAAACTACCAAAAATCAATCAACCTCACTCTTGAAGTCTTTTGGGGGAAGAGAGTTCCAGATTTCTACTACCCTTCGAATGAGAAAATGCTAACTAATTTTACTCTTAAATGGCCTGGTTCTAATTTTAAGACTATGCCCCCTTATTCTGGATTCCCCCACCAGAGGAAATAGCTTCCCTGTATCTACCCTATCGAATCCCTTTATCATCTTAAACACCTCAATCAAATCACCCCTCAACTTTCTAAACTCAAGGGAATACAATCTAAGTTTATGCAACCTTTCTTCGTAGCTTAACCCCTTAAGGTCTAGTAACATTCTAGTGAACCTCCAAGACCAATATATCTTTCCTGAGGTGTGGTGCCCAAAACTGAACGCAGTCTCCAGATGGGATCTGATTAATGCTCTATACAGCTGAAGCATCATTTCTTCCCCTTTGTATTCCAGGTCCCTTGAGGTAAAGGCCAACATTCCATTCACCTTTTTGATTATTTTTTGCACCTGGGAACTAGTTTTTAGTGATTTGTGGTTATGGACACCCAAATCTCTTCGCTTCTCCACAGTTCTTAGTCTCTGTTAAGAAAATATTTTGTTTTATCTTTTTTCGATCCATAGTGGATGACCTCGCACTTCCCTATCTGCCACAGCTTTGCCCACTCACTTAATCTGTCTAAGTCCCTTTATAACTTCCTACTCCCATCTACACAACTTACTGAGCCTCCTAGCTTAGTGTTGTCTACAGCACTGCAACATTCTGCCTTTGCTGCCCTTGTGTTGATTACTGAGAAATGAGCAAGTAGAGACCAGGTGTCACATCCATGCGTGTGCGTGTGTGCACATGCTCACATGTGTATGTATACATGAGTGTCAATGAGGCCTCCTTTCCATCTCTCGTGTGTGTATATCTGGCCAAAAATTTCTAAATTCACCATGTGATTATGGGTGTGAGGCCACATTTGCTGTTCAGTGCATTTTAGATGATCATGCCAAGCTCTGAGTTTTCCCTTCTAACCATACCTTCTCCCCTCCATATAGTTTTATTTGAGTCTGAAAATATATTGCGACATTGAAACATATTTTTGAAATAAGCTGTACTTTTTTTCTCTTCCCCCCCCCCCCACCACCCTCTCTGAGACTATAACTTATGAAAGTTAGAAGCTTCCATACGTTTTGAATATTTGAATGGTTTAGACAAAGACAAAACAGCCTAGACAAAGGAGATAAATCAGCATTTTCTCTTTCAAGGTTTCCACAGTGTTGTGTGTTATTCACGTACTCGCGAACGTGTGGTGAATTATTGTCTCATTGTGAATTCACTGGTGTTAGACCATTCATTTTCACTGCGTGCTCAGATGAGAAGTTCAAATAAATCTGGAACTCTTCATGCATGCAGGAGAAATTTAAAACATTTCCTTAGAAAGCTGACAGACCATATGGTAATTATTAAACATGGCAAGGTTAGTGCCTCTGTGTTTATTTAGTTTAGTTTGATTCCATTGGTAACAAAGTTGGTTTGACTAGCCAAAGGGCGCAACAAGGATGTCCATGATTTTGAATATTAGCTTTTCAGAGATTCGCTGTTAAACTTTCATCTGATTTACTGCATTGATTTCTAGCTCCAGAACATATGCTGTCTGTTCGATAGCAACATTGACTGCCTACATGTAATGGGTTGTTTACTGCAACATTTTAGAATGGGTGTTAGACAGTAAGGATTTCTATCATGAGGTGTACTTAGAATTTAGAGCAATGCTGGGCAGAATGCCATTTGACCTGAACTAAACACTTTCTTAAATTCAGTGTAGGGGTCAAGAGGAAATGCTTGTTAGGATACTCTGTTTTATAGGTTTAAGGAAGGTGTTGAATTTGCAATACCTCTTAAGTGAACTCCTTAGTTAGGTATCTGAGACATGCAAATCGTGACTTTCTGGTAAGTAGTAGTTTGTCCTATTGACCTTTAGGAACTACTCCGAAATGATCTACGTTCGGAACTTAGTTCCTGTAGGATGATGGGAGTTCTGGGAAGGTATATCTCAAAATGTTTTTGACCGTCTTTTGAGTCATCTTTCCTCTCCCCATCCATCTTATCTCCCACCCCCAGTCTGGGTGCCCCTTCAACACTGCGAAGCGCTTTGACACATCCTCGCAGGTTGTTTACTCTCCTTTAAGGACTCCAGGAGAACAGAAACACAAACATTAAAGAAAAAAACAAGGTTACGTGTACATATGATGCATTTTATTTCTCTAATCCAGGATTGATCGGAAAATGTCAAACAGTCAAACCAACTATAAACTGGGTGAAGCGCAGGAAATAATGAATGAATTGAGAACAATCAAGAAGTCAATTACTTCAGGAGAGCAGGAAAGGCAGGACCTTATTCAGGTAAGCCATATCCACATTGTTTGTGACTCACAAGATGTGCAAATATATTCAACTATCGGGATGGCCTGCAGTGGCCTAGGGCCTGTCTTACTTAAAGGTGTAATATAAGTGCAAGTTATTTTTGAGAGTAGTCTGTGATATTTCAAGGAGTTCCTATTCTTAGTCTGACCCATGTTGGAAAGTACCAAGTAATAATAATCCTTGCATTTGATATAGCGCCTTATCAGGTCTTCGAGATATCTCAAGTAGAGAGGATTCCCCTCCACCCCCACTAAAATATTTGGAAATTATTTTGTTTGTATTTTTGTTTAAGCACACCTTGATTGCAACAACACTGTTACTTCGGCTGATAAGATCTGACATGGACCAGAAAATACCAGGGAGAAATGGGATAAAAATAATTCAGAAATGTTTGTTTAGTCAAAGTGCTTCAGGTCAGGAAACCAGGGATTCCGAACTTTAATACAGCATCTATCTGTTCATAAATATCTACTAATATACCTGGATTGCATTCAGATACCATGGTCAATGAAAATAGAGAATACAATGTTCCTTCTAGGTTCCTCTCCAAAAGTAGCCTGGCTCCCAAATCAGATGGGTCTGCCAAGGAATGAATAGTGATACTCTTTGATTTGATATTACTTGATATAGTGCCTTATCATGCCATCAAAGGTACTCCAAAGTATTGTTGATCACAAATCAGTCAACCTGTATTAATATGGGGTGGGGAGAGAAACGAAGCAGATTGGTGACTGGGAGCAGGGATTATTTCCATTGTTTCCATTCAGCACCTGCTTATCCCTCAACCACAACACTACTGGCTCAGTTGGTCCTGGCTGGACAAACAGTGTGAAGCTTGTCAGATAGTGTTTGTCATGGTAAACTGTGTTCTTAGTTGGCTAAACGTAAAGCATTGCCTCAATGCCGACTCGAGGGTCCCAAAGTTGGCTCTTGCTAACCTAGGTCTAAACTTTCTGGAATTATAATAATAATAATAATCCTTGCATTTGATATAGCGCTTTTCATGTCAGGAGGACATCCCAAAGCGCTTCACAGAACACACTGTAAAGTGAATTGACTGTATATTTGTAGGCGAACGCGGCAGCCAATTGCGCACAGCAATGTCCCACAAACAGTCGTAGAATGAAAATGACCAATTTATTATTGTCTTTGGTTTTGGAGGGATTATTATTAGGCTCTGTGTGGAGTAAGGAAACTTGCCCAAGGTTTCGCCCTCTGCCTGGAATTGAACTCAGGTCTCTCGCTTGCAAAGCGAGTGCTCTAACCACTGAGCTACAGGACTCCACAATTATATATGCAAGGTGCAACCCTCTGATGAGAGAGTATGCATTCCATTACTAGGCACAGGGAAGCTTTACATTAGTGGAACTCTCAGTCTGGCTTGGATACATTTAAGCATGGCGATGGATTTCCACATGTGTCAGACACCCAGCTGATCACAAGAATTCTCCCAGAAGTTACTATAAATCTAGATTGCCCAGATGGATGGTGTCAGAACAAATTAGGCATTATTGATTGATGAGCAAGATGTGAGTTGCTGCGTTATCAGACAGCAGGAAATGTAACAATGTGGCAGTACCATTTCCCCTTTGCTTCAGAATGGAGTACACAACTTCATGTGGTGCCTTGACTAATGGATTAGCTGAGATAGGAACTAATGAGTGAAGCATATTGTGTCCTGGGTCTTAAAGGGCCTGAAATTCCATGCTAGAACAGCTCACTGCATTGTGCGGATTACCCTCCTAACATTCCACACGGATTAATTTGTTGCTTTTCACAGGAAATGTGTTTGTTACAGTCATAAGCATAATGTTACAATGAAGCATGCTTTTAGATGTATTTAGTCATTAAAACATTCTCTTTTGATTTGGGTGATAGATACAAAGAGTGTGCCTGGCATTTACAGAGATTAAACATCTCCAAATCTCTTTAACTGGCAACCAACTGTGTTTGCGATTTTTGTTATCATAGCAGGGTTTTAGGTTTAAATGCTGATTTTAATCTTGCCACAATTACTTACTGGTATGCTTATGACTAACAAGGCTTCTAAATTCAGCTTCGAACTGAATGCTATGCACTGACTCCTTGTATTTATGAAATAGCCTTGTAAAATTTTGGCTGCAGTTGCGAGGTAGGCAATAATCTAAGACCTGACAGATCCAGAAATTAGTTGAGGAGATTACAGCATATTTTCCATGCAGTCTACAGCACAAAATGCAATTTACCAATCACAGTCCAAAAACATCAATCAAGTTGTACTTCTCACTTCCTCCAATAATGTGTTGCTTAAAACAATCTCCTTGACAATGCATCCTTTTATGCGATTAGTTTTTCCTTTTAAATTTGGAAGGCATAAAATTATGCTTTGGCTCATTTCTTGGAAAAGAGTACGGCCCTAGTAGTATTGGCTCACAGTAGGGTAGGATTTTACTAGCTAAATGGCTTCAGTCTGGTTTGAGGTCAACCACTTTTCAGATAGTCAAATCACAGTTCATTTTCCTTTTAATCATGATGAGGGTGCAGTAGAATTAAACTCATAATCACTCCACTTTGCATTTCAAATTGTGTGACCTCTATCAATTTGACTTCGTTATTAGCTGAAGTGCTGGAGGAGACTCTGGGATTTATGTGGCTAGAGCAGAGGTTAGCACCTATAAATGGTGAGCAGTGGAGAATCGTGTCAGTTTGCCTGAATTAGTAACACTTTCTTCTCTGGGTTGGAAGAATTTGGATTTAAACCAAAGATTAAGATTTGTACATATGGTCTATGCTGTCAGCAGTGCAGTCCTGGGGGAGTGCTGCACTGCTGGAGGTGACGTTTATCCTGTTAACCCTGCAAGCCAAAGCCCTAATGGGTAGGGTGGTCCTAGCTGGCAAGCAGCGGGAAAGCTTGCCGGACAACAATATCAATGGCAAACTATGCGGTTTTAGCTGCTTAGACCTAATTTTCTCCTTTGTCTTCCTTGCCCTGACTCCCCACTCTCTATTAGCCCTTAAAAGCCTCTCCCTCCCAACATGCCCAAGTTCTGATGAAGTGTCGTGGACCCGAAACGTTGACTCACTTTCCTTTCTCCATAGATGCTGTCTGACGTGCTGAGTGTTCCCAGCAGCTTCTGTTTTTGTTTCAGATTTCCAGCATTTGCAGTATTTTGCGTTTTGGATACTCATTAAGCATGGTGATGGGTTTCTGCATGTGTCAGACACCCAGCTGACAAAAAACAAAACAATAAAAAGGTGACATTTATTAGATGAGATATTAAACTAAGATCCAATCATGTCACAATCTCATAAAACATTTCACAAGTAAATTCTGTGAAATGTAGTGAACAATTTCATTGGCAACCTTGATGGGCAATGGTCCCACAAAGAACCATGACGTAAATGACCAATTATTCTGGAGGATTGTTGGCCAGGACACCGGGCGAAACTTTCTTTATGAGATTTTTAACGTTCACTTGAGAACTCTGGTTTAAAGGTTCATCTGAAGGATGGCACATTTGACAATGCATCATTCCCACACTACTGCACTAGAGTATAAGCTTGGAAGCAGGAATGAGTGAAAAAGTGAAGGGGTGGGTAGTCCTGGGCAAAATAGATTTGGAGTGGTTTCAAAGTGGGTATAAAAAGATGAAGACAAGAGTGACGTTGCTTGCCATGTTCGTCTACAAAATTTCACTTTACAGTATATCCCTTGAATCAAAATCAAAATGATATTAAATGTAAGACTTGTACATTAAAATATAATTTACATTTATATAACTTCTTTTACGTTGGGAACATGTCTCAAAGCATTTCACGAGCTAAAGTACAATTGGTTGCAGACCCAAGCTAATGAGTGGCAGCTGAAGAGGATGGGGAGGGAAAAAGATGATTGAAAGATGACTGCGGTCAAAGAGGTAAATCTTGAGGCAGGGTTTGAACACGGGGGGTGATGAGGGGAGCAAGTCAGAGGGACTCCAGAATGGCAATTCAGCAAATGGAGGCAGAATCATGCATCATCCACTGTATGTTCGCCATTTGTACGCTGTAAACTTTCAGGGATTTTTTGTAAATTGTAATAAATAGGTGACTCGAATGATCCACATGTTAACATAGCCTTGCTGTCAGTATGTTTGAGCTGAAGGACCTTAATATTTCTTTTATCTCACTGTTCAGAGCCTTGCCCGACTAACAGATGAATTCAGGAATAGCTGTTACATTGGGAACTCCCTGCAGGATCTACGAACAAATGCTGGCTTAGCCGTTGATTGTTTATCACAGCAGTACTCTGAAGCAAGTTCACAGACTGACATCATCGGAGAGGTATGTTTTGAAATGCTAAGTCCTATTTATAAAATTCTTTGGCTACCTTACAATGTGATTTCAGACTAAGTTTGCAGACTGCATTTCTTGTGCACTTTTACAAACTGGGCCTGGCATTTTGTTCTTTGCACTACATATAAAGTGGATCCCTGTTGTCTTTTCAATTTGCACTACACAAAATGGGCATGGGGGGAGGGTGGGGGTCTTCGATATAGTATTGCCTTGCTCAGGGCAAGGGGCATATGGTTCCTCATCTGGAATATGGCATCCAATGCTGACCAAACAATGTTCCACCCTAAACAATGCGGACATTTGAGTTGTCTACTTGACACTGATGCCTCTTCCTGTGTGATGTATGCTTTGTGCAGGAAGTGCCACTAAAGTCACTTGTCAGCGATGTTAGTAGCGCTTCCTGTGCACACATGTACAACACTTCCTGTGTACACATGTACAATTGGCATTAGTATCATCTTGATGACCTATACGTCAGCCATTTTATCACACCTCACTTACAATCTGATCTTGGACCCAGATGACTATTATAAAAGGGGTTTTCCTGTAGTTAACAGATTGGTAAGTAAAAGGGTTTCAAGCTAAAGTAACCCCATTTTTCACACTTGAGCACTTTGAACGCCCAGTTTGTAGTGCCAATTTGTTGGATTTGATTTATGACATTGGGCACTCCGAGAGAACTAGAATCAGATTAATAATAATAATCCTTGCATTTGATATTGCGCTTTTCACGTCGGGAGGACCTCCCAAAGCGCTTCACAGAACACACTGTAAAGTGAATTGACTGTATATTTGTGGGCGAACGCGGCAGCCAATTGCGCACAGCAATGTCCCACAAACAGTCGTAGATTGAAAATGACCAATTTATTATTGTTTTTAGTTTTTGGAGGGATTATTATTAGGCGTGCGGAGTAAGGAAACTTGCCCAAGGTTTCGCCCTGCCTGGAATTGAACTCGGGTCTCTCGCTTGCAAAGTGAGTGCTCTAACCACTGAGCTACAGGACTCCACAGATGATAGTGGGGGAACACAAGTTCTTGGTAGATGGCTCCCTATATTGCCAACTAGTAAATAGATTTGCTTGATGGAAAGAATATATTCAAGCCTGAAATGAGAAAAGGTCCTTAAGCCCATCAAGCCCAATACTTTCACAGACTGTGTATTATCTAGCATGTACTCAATAATTTTATCTCCTGAGGTAACATTCCACTTCCCACTTCCTGAGTCCAAAAATAATCCAATACACTTTCAGAGGCTGTATCCACACAGGTATCTATACTATTCAGGTCAGGATAGCAGCTTGCAAAGATGACTCACCACTGGGCTCTGGTCCTTTCAGCTTAAGAAGCAGAGTGAACGTGGTTATTTCATCATTTCATTCCACACTGTCTCTTCAAAAGATGGGTCACATTCCACCTCTTGTCTGCAGCAAGCAGAACTGCCACTGGTTGGCCTTGCAGTACTGTCAGGGCCATGTGCAGCTTTCAGGGGCTCAATGGTGCTGCCACTTATCAGTTTCTTGAGAACAATTTGATCTACAGTTACCATTGTCCTGGTGTGGCGAGGAAGAAAATCCTTTCGGATAGTGTTCTGCTCATGTTCTGAGCAGAATGTGAGTTCCACACTATGCTTGTCACAATGCAGCTTCCAGCCTCCCCCCCCCCCCAAATCTTTTCAACCATAGAATTACAATTGTATTTGGTTTAAATGCTGCCTTTCGTGGTGCTCACAACAAACTATTCGATGCATTTTTTTTACACATGGGTGTTTTTTTCACAATGCGACTTGATGGCTCGAACCCAATGGTGGCCAACCTTTACGGTCGGCCAACAAAATATATTTTCTTGTTTGAATATTTCTTGATTTATGCCACAAATCAATTTTTTTAAATTAAGAAAAACTGCTCCGCCCCCTCCACCCAGCGATCAATCATGGACTTACCTAGACTTGTATGAGTATTCATAGGGCCACTTCTTGACTGCCCGCAGACCACAGCTTGACCTCCAGTGTTCTAACCTACACAGAACAGAAGGTCACAGGTTTGAGTCCTTGACTGTGTTGAGTTAGCAGATCTCAGTCGGAGCACCAGCTGAGTGCTATAATTTCGTACAGGGGTTTATCAAAATGTGAAATGTTTTGCCAAAAGTGCTGTCGAGGCTGAGGACATCTTTTTAATCCTGTTATAGTCTCAACCTCACTTGTCAGTGGTGGCAAAGCATTCCATATTCTAGTCACCAACTATGTAAAATTGTAGCATCCGAACTGGTGCCCGTGTCTGAAACTTTTGGAAAGGAAGAATAGAATATAACAACGTGCAAGGATTGCAGTAAGTAGAACCATGTTATGAAGTGGTTTATTGTAACGAGAGTTTGCTCATAGTGTGGTTGGGTTGTGGACCTGACATTAACATTGGTTGGGATTTTGTGGACGGCCCTCCACTGCATTATAATAAGGGTCTACTGTCGTAGATAATTGATAAGCTAGGAGCAGCTTAGGCTTCATATACTGAATGAATTCCTCCTATGCTGTAATTTTTATTTCTATATTATATGGTTAATACAACCGGCTATGGAGGGGGAAATAAGTTACAGATCCCCTAAGTGACACTGCTGGTTATTGTAAAATATTTTAAAATATTTTAACCTTTTGAAAAATACCATTAGTAGTTGAATTTACCTGCATTTTGTAACAATAAAATTGAGGTTTAGGCTTACTGTGTCCAGTTAATCACTCATTTTTCTTTTGAAGTTCTCTTGTGGAGGAAGGTCCAAGCTGCCTGACAAAGTCCGACTTAGTTGGCAGTATGAAGAAGCTAAGAAAAGGTATGAAATATAAAATGTATCATCGTGTTCACAGTCTCTGAATTCTACATCTTGTTCTATCTGTGTTTCTCGCCTTTTCTTGGATATTTTTATTTATTCTCTCTATGATCGTACAGTGGAGACAAAATATGTCTTTTCCATGTGCAGAACCCATTTATCAGCTTTCTACTGTGAACCTACCATTTAATTATTGAACCTCCACTGTACTGTACTGTACTGAATATATGCTGCAGATGATCCATGCCGACTACCCTCAATGTCTTCTATTGTTTAGATTTAAAGACTCGAGTCTGAACATTCCTAGCACAGCTCTTCTTATTTGTATAGCACTTCCATACACACCTCTAAATCTCTACAGTTCAAATGTAAGCGGGAATTCACTGTGAATTGGATTTTCGATCATTGTATCCATCTGCTGGAAGATATGGAATGCTGGGTTTCAGATGCCAGCCTAAGATCGTGGACATGCTTTTTGGGTACTTATTGTATCCTGTCATTCCACTTTAAATGCACATCGTGTTAGCTATCCAATGAGCGCCAGACCCAGACCAGCTGAGTTAAACCCTATATATACTAATAATCCTTGCATTTGATGTGCCTTATCATGTCGTAGAGATGTCTCAAAGCACTTCATAGGATATATTGTAAAGTGGTGTGACTGTATTTTGTGGGAGAAATGTGGCAGCCACACCAGGTTGGAGGGATCGAGCATAGGTTTTTTAAGGAGAGGAATGATGACAGCGGTTTTGAAGGGGAGTGCGGCAGAGCCTGAGGTGGGACTGGTTGATTGTGTCAGCCAGCAGTGGGCAGAGGAAGGGTTGAGTGACCAGAAGCTGGTGGGGATGGGGTCGAGACAGCAGATGGTGGACTTCATATGGGCTGGGGGAAAGGGAGGAGGGAGAGATGGGGTCAAAGGAGTGTTGGTTGGGGGCCATGGTAGGAGGAGAGGGTGATGAAGGAGGCATGAGGGGTGGTAGGTAACATGGTGTGGAGGGGGGGTGGGCAGGGGTGGTGGGGGAGGAGGAGGAGTTATCCTCTGTGTAAAGAAATACTTCTGGTGTTTGATTTATGTTACCCATCACAACCTATGCTTTCACATCATGGCTTGGAGTATCTGAAAGAATTCCTGTCCTATTTTGTATACCATGAAGCTCCCTTCTGGGATCTCTCATTTGGAGTTTGAACTGCCCCACAACTTCCCTGTATATTTTGTGATAGAGATGTGTCATTTTGCTGCAGTTTGTGGAATGTCACTATTTTTCCATATGTGCACAACCGCCAGATATATCTCTTTGCCATGTCAGTACTTTAACTGTACACTTTGAGTATTTCTTACTTCTATGTTACTGGCTTACTTTGGACGAATAGAAGCCCAGTTCATTGAAGTTCTGCATAAGTCTATGTTCTTTTTGAGGTTAAAGTTGTGCCTTACACGGTTAATGCTGTGCGCAATTGCTTGCAGTGTTTCGTCCGCAAAATATACAGTCAATTCACTTTACAGTGTATTCTGTGAAGTGCTTTGAGACGTCTCGAAGACGTGAAAAGCGCTACATCAAATGCAAGGATTTTTTTTATTTATTGCAAGGTAGAATTGCGCTACATTTGGCTATATGTGTCTGCGATTGCTCAGTGTTAACATTGTGCTCTGTTCTGTACTTTAATGAGCACCAGAAATCCACCCAAATAAATTATTAAGGAATGTTATATTAGAAAATTACTGTGTGAATCTCGGTTAAAAAACAAACTGTTATGCACTTTCCTTGTACTTGTAATTGCTTTTGAAAAGAACAGTGTTCTGCTGAAGATATCGCTGTACTTCTGTGTGAGGGGAAATGCATTGAATACATTGCTGCAGCAATTATCTTTGTGGTTACATTTTTCAATTATCATGCATTCCTGCCTTCAGCTTGTTGGTATTACTGAGGGGCCTTTGTGTTTACATACATTGCAGTGCTTTCTGTCCAGCTCTGTGTGGCTGGCATGACTGCCCAGAGGTCGTTCTAGTACACTGTAGTGAGGGAAATTGCTGCAATGCACTAACTTTGAAAGGACAAATATCATTCCATAACTCTTTACTTGATGATGGGAATAGTCTTTTCGGTCACCTAACATGACTTGCAAATTTGATAATTTCATTTCTGATTTTCTTTATGCTTGTATTTTATATTAATACAAATATTGTGCTCAGAATCGTGTGTTTAAAAAGGGATGAAAATGCAATATTTCAATATAGATTCAATGTGATAATCGCATTGAATCTGTAATGAAATATTTCGCTCATGGTTTTGGTTGTGGTTATGAATGTGTGTAATAGTTTAGGGTTGCAGTTGCATAATGTGAAAGAGATCTTTCAGGTGGAGTGAGTATGAAACCATTTGCATAGTAAGCCAGAAATATATAAACAGATTTTGTGTACAGGAATTAAATATTTATAAGATGAGTGTTAGCCTCAAATTAGCTACAGAATCAGTACAGTGAAACAGTCTGATCTTTCTGCAGTTACTTTAATTTAATGACCCCGCAATGTTGGTCAATTTGCTTATTTTAACAAAGTAATGTTATGAAAGTATTAATGTGTGACTTGACTGAAAGTTGTTGCGAATTTTGCATGTTCATCGTGTGAGTCAACTTTTTCCCCTCAGACAGAAATGAATCACTACCTCAGCCACATAGGAAGGTCTGAGAGCTGCAGACTTGAGGGAATGTCAGTTGTGCACTCAATACATAATACATTAACAGCTGTCAGACACACTACAGTGTAATGAGTTATTGTGGGTTTGCTTTCGGATGGAGAGGGAGCGGTCCCCGCATTCATCCAGTACTTGCATCCAGATCAGTTTGTCATTCATTATGTGTATTATAGTGGCATCTTTACAGTGCAAAACTGGCTGCCACACTTGCCTGATAAAATCATTACACCTGACTATTACCTGTAATGTGCTTTGCCATTTCATTGTGATGAGGTGCTGTATAATGCAAGTTCTTTCTTAGTTTCCACAACCTATTAAAAATGCAAAAGTCTGTTTGCATTTTAAAGGGTATCCCAAGATCAGAGGTGACTAATGGTGATCATGTCTCACTCAGGTCATGTAGAGGGCTCGTGGATAAAGTGAAAATTACTTTCACTTATGACAAATCATTCATAGTCTGTTGACTATGCAGGGTCGACTATGGAACTCCATTGCAGTGTTGGGGGAACTATCAGAGGTGCCAGCCTTCGGATGAGAAGTTAAACCATCTGTCTGTTCAGGTTGACGTCAAAGATCCCATGGCACTTTTAGAAAAGATAAGGGAATTTTATTTCAGTGTCCTAGCCTACAATTCTCGGATGAATTGGTCACTCGTTTCATGGCTGCGGGACGTTGCTGCATGCACATTAGCTGCTAAGTTTACTACAAAATGCACATTCAGTACAGTTTACAGCAATTCCCAATGGAGCTCTGTGAGACGTGTAGAAGTTATGTCTATTATTATGTCTGTTAATGTACCACTCGTCTTTTCTCACTGATCAGAGTTTCCAGCATCCAGCTGCAGCTGGCTCAGCTGGATAATGAGACCTGGCCGGGAAGCGCTGAGGCGGACAGGGACCGTCTCCAACTAATAAAAGAGAAGCAAGCCCTTCTTCAGGAGCTGCAGCTGATCAGCCAGCAGAAGCGCTCACCGGAGGAGCTCACTCGTCTCGAGGCTGAACAGAAACGTTTGGAGGACGATATTCAGCTTGCACAATCCATCCCTCATCAAGAGCTCACTGAAAGGTTTGTATCATGGACCTTTTATTGTCTGAAAGCAATTTGTGAATGGGAATAGGAAGCCCAGATTATATATATATCATATATATATATACATGCAATGCAATTTACATTTATATAGTACCTTTCATGTCAGGACGATTTACCCATTCCTTTTTGAATCCCACAGTAACACTCCACTCAAGGAAAAGACAAGTTTTCTTAAAGTTCAAAAAGTTCAGAAGACGGTGTTAACATACCCAAACACCCAGCGCCCCAATCCTCATCAGCTTCCGCTGGCTCCTTATCGCTGAACAGATCAACTTTACGATCCTCACCCTCACGTACAAATCCCTTCATGTTCTAGTACCTTTCTATCTCTGACCTACTCCTATCCCATCTCCCTCGCTCAGCTAACACAGTCCAGATCACTCAGCACCAAAATCAGTGACTGAGCCTTCAGCCACTATACCCTTAACTCCCTGCCTCAACCTTTACTTTTAAATCCCATCAGAAAACAAACTTCCTGGATTCTGCCTATGGTTCTTTCCCCTTCTCCCTTATTTGGTATCCAACCCTGCCACTCTCCGCTCTCCAAGATGCAATAATAATAATAATAATATTCCTTGCATTTGATATAGTGCCTTATCATGTCTTTGAGACATCTCAAAGCACTTCACAGATTATACTGTAAAGTGGATTTACTGTGTATTGTGTGGGTGAAATAAGTATAAATTATACATTTTGTGGATGAGATAAATTATATTCCTATGTGAAGGGAGTTAATTAAATGCAAGTTGTTGTTAATGTTCGCAAAGAGACAATTGAACAGTAGACTATTAACTAACATTAAAAAAATCCACCAACATTTGGTCAGCGGTGAATGTAGCTGTTTAAAAAAAGGTGAGCATAGAGTCTGCTGCCTTATAGCTTGAGCAGCCAGCTTCCACCACTCAGAGGCACAAATCCATGACAAGCTAGTGACAACACAAAATGATTGCAGATAACTATCCCAGTTTTAATTTGTTCTGCCTCATTGTTTATTTTATTTCAATACTGACCACTTGAGAATTGTTTCTAGGAAAGTAGCCTACCCATACACAGAGCCCCAGATTCAGGTGTGCAGGCCGGCATAAATTACAGCACAGTTAAACAATTGATTCTGAGGGCGGAAAGGATGTGAGACACGTTTCGCTACAACTGGAAGAAGAATGTAAAAAAAATCCTTGCACTTGAAATAGTGCCTTATCACGTTGCCGAAATATCTTAAAGGGCTTCATAGGATTTTACTGAATATTTGTGGGCGAAAACGGCAACCAATTTGCGCACAACAATAGCTCACAAACAGCCATGAAGTGAATGATCAATTTTAAGAATTTGTGCTTAGTTTTTATAGATTTCATTGCACAATAAATTCTGTGCCATGCAGACTGATGACTCGTAGAACATAATCCAGAACAAAAACGCCTTGTTCCAAGTCGGCTCCTTGATTCCCGATCACAGTGCTGTATTTAGAAATTGGTTTGATCATCATTTCCATGACTCCATGTGTATAGCAACACCCAAAGTTTGGAGCTTATCATCTTGTGTACTTTTTATACAGCCCAATTGTCAAGAGTAATATTCAGTTTGTAAATGCGCTGGACTTAGCCATCATGTTGCAAAATTTCAGGTTGAAAATTGTGACTTCTTCTTTAGACCCACATTGTTTGGGTCCAAAGCTGTTTGGACTTACAGCCACAGATTGCAATATTGGTGTGCCAGTTGTCAGGATACCGCCTTAACTCTGTTTTGGTTGTTTTAACCCGGTATTGTAGGATGCTGACTAGCACTGAAATGCCACTGAAGCTGATCAAATCCATTGTGTCTCCAGGCAGTATGGGCTCAACTATTGTGATGGAGGTGGGTGGGGAGAGGGGGTTGTCCACATAGACAGACCAGTTGATATTTTTAGTTAGCTATGGAGTAGAATTTTCACAAACAAACAACAGGCCACAATTCCAATTGTGTTACTAATTCTGACAAAATAAGTCACTAGACTGAACTCCACCATCCTGCTACAACATGCCAACCTTTTGGTAATAGTTCTAGACTGTTAAGTCAGCAGTCTGAAGCCTTCAGGTGTGACAGCACTGTTCCTGAGTCAGCGTCTCTCATTCACTTAACCTTCCAATCTTCCACCACACTTTTGATGACCAGCTGAATCTCTCGTCTGTTTCTCTGACCAATCCTATTTATGGGTTTGGATATTTGGGCTCAACATCAAGTAAAATGAGTTTTCCCTGTGAACATCCTGAAAATTGTTGGCTGCAATGAACAAAACAAATTGTTCAGTTGCAATCCAGTTTAGTGAACTTTGGTGGGAGTGACCTGGATCTCCATGAATAATGCTGGAGAACGTAACAAGTGTATGATTAATAGAGATAATATTTTCTGTACTCATTCATAGAGTATGATTTTGAGTCTATTTCACATGAATGTTCCAGCAGACTCTTCTGATTTACTGTACTTAATTTTACTGTACTTAAACTGACTGTGACTCTTATAAACAGCAAATAATTTCCACAATCCCAAATCACCAATCTTATTTTATCCCTAATTTGTGAGAAAATCATAGTCAATAGACACTCAAAAAATCTTTTTATTATTCAGCATTTCTAAGCACTTTATTCAAAGTTCCAACAGCTTGTAGAGAATTATTTTAAAAGCTGGCATTATTTAATGTTCCATGTGTCAGCTTGGCCCAGTAGTAGCACTCTCGCCTCTGAGTCAGAAGGTTGTGGGTTGAAATCCCATGTCGGGACTTGAAGTCACCAGAGTCTAAGATGACACTCCAATGCAGTGCAGGAGGTGCGCTGCATTGTCCTTCAGATGAGACATTAAACCGAGATCCTGTCTGCCTGTTGAGGTGGAGATTAAAATCTCATGGCACTATTTAAAAAGAGAACAGAGTTTCTCCTGGTGTCCTGGCCAGCAACCTCCAATAAATAAAATTGGTAACTTCCTTCATAGCTGTTTGTGGGACATTGCTGTGTGCAAATAATTGGCTGCAATGTTCGCCCTCAGAATACATAGTTACTACACTTTATATTATAACCCCTGAAACGCTTTGGGACGTTCTCTCAACATGAAAGGCAGTATAGTAAATATAACGATTATTATTATGTTATTTAATCTTTTTGTAGGATGCTGTTACAAGAGAAGAAAAACTGTCTACTGAAACAGCTGGAAGAAGCTACACGTCTCACTACATATTTGAACTCCCAGCTCAAAAGGTGAGTCTGTTAGATGTCCCATAATATGGAACTACATCACAAATGTAGAACTATACACTTTTTTCTTGGATGTCCGTTTTTTGGCATTAAATTTGGCATTAATTTTAATTATATCATGTTTGAAATACTATTTGTATTGCTGTATTGTGCTTGAACTGATGTAACCAGCCAATCCAGGGAGACAGATGTTTTACCAGGAACAAAGATAAATAAATTCAGCATTTCTTAAATCAATAATTTTGAAACCAATGTAGAAATTCAGGGCCTGATTACAAATGTCACTAACTATTATTCACATGTCTGGAACTTAATGCTATTACTGAAGATTTTATCACAGGGATAATTTTAGGGCACTAAAGTGAATGACATGGTATATAATGTAATTCAAGGCTTATGGCATGAAGGAATGATGTTCATAATCCTGAAAGTCTAAACAATTGAATGTTCCTCAATTAATTTCCAAACGAAAATCACATTTGTCTGAAGTTGTAGATTCAACATTGCAACTGATTGAATGCAGGAAGCTCAACCAAATCTGTGAAAAGCAATCTTGAGGTTCACTGGTTAAATCTAAAGACAAATGAGAGAGCCTAGAAAGAAACATTGGTTGGTTAATGTGGAAAATAGAATACCGTTGAGGGTTTCCGTGTTGGTTTTGTTACAAAGGTTTCACAGAATGCATTACATGTTGCAGTGATTGCATTATATGTTCCCTGATCTGTATTGTTGGTAGGTCCAGAGAAATAGCTATTCCCCTGTTGGGTTGGTTATATTTTCAGAATGTTTCAGTACTAGCTAGATACTGTGGTGATGTGATTGAATATTCATGATTCAGATGCTGCTCAACTATTGTCCAGAATAAGGAATGGTTCTGCCCACAGATTCTTTCAAAGCTACAGTTGTCTAAAAATCAGGGTAGAGAGGGGAAACTTGAAATGGTGGGTGTATATCTATGGGGACATCAAAGAACCTACAGATATCTCCTACAAGAGAGATTTGTTTGAATCACATTACATCAAAGGGAGTAGTTTATAGTGAAAATCTTTGCGTCCCATGCGCACCTTCTTCCTGCTTCAGTTTGCTAAGATTGTTCTTCACTGTGTGAAATGATCACACTCGTGTCTTGTGATTTTCTGTTTCATTCATCTTGAACAATTTTTGCGTTGGATGCCAGATGTGTGGGCAGCTGTTTTATTTTATTGGTTGAAGGAATGACACAGATTGTGCAGTGCAAACGAGTATCCCACAGCTAGGTCATACAGCTGTTCCACAGCACAATAACCTAATGTCAAATCTGAATTGATAGTTTAACTTAGTGCTTTTAATTCTGGTAGTTAACATCTTCCATACCGTGTCATCTGTATCAGCAAAGTAATAAGATGATAGACGTTCTTGCTTCATAGGAAAAATATTCTGGGACTCCAGATCAAAAGAAAGACGGTGAAAGAAAAGTTTACTTTTCATTTTGAAAGACATCTTGATAAATCTTTGAAATGACAAGTTAATTTGGTTAAACCAAGATCTAACTATTCTACATAAATGTTATGCTATGAAGCAAACACTTGTCAGCACCTTGGGATGTCTTCCCAAAGTGAAAGGTGCTATATAAATGCAATCTGTTTTTGTTGTCAGCTTATCGACAGTCAACTGTTAAGGGAATATTAATTTACTAGTACAATATTCAATGATCACTAATTATGTAGAGGCAAATGCATGTCTGTTATTATAATTGAGCATACTGTTGATTTAAAATTATTCTTTGTCTTGCAGTTTGACCGCTAGTTCCCTAACAGTGTCATCTGGCAGCAGTAGAGGCTCACTTGCGTCTAGTTGTGGATCACTAGCTTCAAGTAGAGGGTCCTTGAGCTCGGTCAGTTTTACTGACATTTACGGTCTCCCACAGTATGAAACTGACAATTCAACAGATTTGGGAAGTCATCTGCAATTTGACTTTCTTCCATTTGATACAGTAACAAAAGACCATTCATACACAGAACATTGTGGATTGTCCAATTTGAACAAACCAAGGAGATCCTTTGATCCCCCTCAGTCCCTGGCATCACTGTCATCTAGGTCCTCTCTGTCATCTCTGTCCCCACCAAGTTCCCCACTGGACACGCCATATCACTCTGCTTCTCGCGACTCTCCCTTGGCCCAGATGAATGAGGAATTTGAGGAGCTTGTAGGAAGATCAGAATCAGAAAATCTCCGACTACAAGCCCAGGCTGTGTGCCAAGATCTGCAGGAAGCTGTTTCTTCCCAAGTCACTGGAGCTTCATTTGGAGATATGAAATTCTCCCAAGATATTGCTCCTAGATTAAGACCAGCAGTACAAGGTTTAGGAGGTACAGTAATACTTCAATTTAATATATTATTATATTCTAAACTAGATTTGGTCATGGTCATTTGAACATTGAATATCATTGAACTGTTTAGCTGAAGGGCATCTGCAACTTCTTGAAAACACATAATAAAAAGACTTGCATTTGATATATTCACATTGGGAGAATGTATCAATCACTTCACAGGATTTACTTTTAATAGACCTAATGTGTCAAATTAAGGTTGGGTATGACAGACTAGATAATGGATGGGTATTTCCATTTTTGCTTAGTTGAAAATATCTGGTTTGATAAATTAATTATAAAATAATTTATAAGGGTTTAAAATAAAGCATTCACAAATCGCATTCACATTTACTTCACTAATTCAACTTCTGACCTGCACCCGAAATATTGTGAAAAATGTATGACCCCGAATACTATAAAATGGCATTTTGCCTCATTTGGGATTCCCATTTTTGTTTTTAGTCAATTTGTTAGTGTATTGCTCAATTTCAGGTGCAAAATGGTAGTTGCAGTTGGTGCAGATAATAATATGCAAAATCATTAGTCCATCTTTAATTGGAATTGTTGTATTTCTTGAAGCTTGAAGGTGTCGGTCAGAAGGTGTCCAAGAAAGTTTAAAATGAAAAACTAGTAAAGTTAGAAATTTGGTTATTTTCCTCAGAATGCTTTTCGTTTCTGGCAGTCTTTGCAGACTGTTGCCACCCTGTGGTGATGTAATGTAAAATCTATCTTGTGATTTCTCAGCTTGATAAATTCTTTATGTTGACGGTTTTGAGCTTGGCTTTCTGCTTCCTCATGACATTCTCTATTGTGTAATCCTTCTGTTGAAAACCAAGCATCTGAAACCGGATCTTTCCTGAAAGAATAGGATGTGGGTGTGTTGCATCCTGCCGTGTGCAAATACATGTACAGGAGACTTGAGTGCTCTATTTACAGTTAACATTGTTGGAGCATCAATGACAATAAGAAGGAATTTCAGGCATTTACTATGTTACGCATAGTTGTAATCATGTGTATTTTATCACTATGTCTTGGTAACTAGATCAAAGTATTGTTTATTTTTTCTTTTCTAGCAGTAACTATGCGTTCAGACAGTGCTATCAAGGCGAGCAGGAGAACACGAAGAGTCTCAGCAGGTTTATCAGATGATTCTGTTGCAACAGACAGTGGAGTTTTTGAGGCATTAAATAAAAGGTGATGAAATTAAATTTCTGAGCATCAAAAGCTGACGTATTGCATGTGTGATGTAAAAAAAATTAAGTTTCAAATCCCATTGCTTGCCTCTTATAACCTTCTCACCAGTGTAATCCCTGTCACTATTGTATTCTGGCTGTTTTTAATAAGATAAAATGAAACATTTAACAGTCCAGTTAGAATTGCAGATTTATGCTGGATTTGAGAATTCTAAGGCCATTATTATATTGTTTGGCATTTTCTGTTCCCTGTTATGAACACAATATCAACTACAAATTAAAATGAACTTCAGAAAGGATTAGAGTGAACAATAAACTGGTTTTGTTCTTTCCAAGTATTTTATAATATTAATCTTTTAAATGTTGGCTTGCCTTTGCTAAAGATTGCTTGAATTTATTGTCCAAACTAGCTCTGGAGAATCATTTTAAACCTGGTGGTTTACCTTCAATTTAAAATTGATCCATAACGGGGCATCTTAACAATTTCTGGAGTGTAACATTTATAGTTGTGGTAATAATGAATGACTTAGTATTAATTATTTCTGTTTGCAGGCCTGAAGATATAGATGAGCCATTGTATGACAACAATTCTGTCGCTGTTGACCCAACCCAAATCAAAGTGGGACTCGTGTAAGTTTGAATTGTATCCTCCTTACTGAATAGTTTGCATACTCATTCAGTATGTTTTAGGCATTGTCATGTGGAAAGACTTGGCTCCAATTTGCTAAGTGTATTTTTTTCTGAATGAGATTGTTTTCCAGGTATGCCAGTAAATATTGTGCTATTGGTTGAATATTAAATGATTGAACAGCTTTTTAATGGTGATAGCAGTTTCCTAAGTGTAATGGCAGAACAAATACAAATGCAAAAAACAACATATCTCGTAGAGCTGGTGTGAATTGCTTTTGACTCCCCAAAAGTGTTCTGCCAATTTAGATTATAACTGTAGCGTTTGTTAAAGGAAAAAACTGAAGAAAAAAAGACTTTTTTGTGTCTGGCAGCCTTTAATGTACTTCCATTTGGATGGAAGGAACCCTGTAGATTAGTCAATTACTTTAGTTATTGACAGGGCAGATTTTTCGACACATATAACATCACAGCAACAATATTTACCCCCAATAGCTACAGGAGAAGAAGAAACAAAGTGACATTTTGCAAGAACAGCAAATTTTTAAATGCCAAGTTCTGTTTGCTGTAGGGAGTTTACTTGCCATATCTTGCCAGCTGAATGTATCCAATTTTGTAGAATGTCAATTTATTAGCAACTGTAGTCATTTATGGTTCAGACCATTTCAGTAGAAGCTGTAAAGACCTGACAAAGGATAAACTTGTTAGATTTGAAAACACTTGTGTAGCAGTAACATCCTTCTTTAATCAGTTAGCTGAATGCTCATCTTTATAACTGGAGCCCACATTTGATGACATTCTGTGGCTATGGGTGTTCATTTACCACGATAAGCTGATGTATGATTATTTAATAAGTCTATTTGCAAACTTTTGTATTTGTAGGTATGATGATCGAGATGAACGACTGATAGTTCATGTACTCCAGTTAAGGAATCTTGCTGCTTTACAAGTGAAAGAAGGGAACAAAGTGTAAGTCAGAAGCTCTCAAGTTTCAAAAGCCTCATATTGACAGCTGACTTATTGTAATTTTAGTTTTCTTTATAGTTGAATGGTGACTTTTAAACTTGTTTAAAACCCACATAGCACTTCTTGTGGGCAGGAAAAAATGTCTTTATTGTAGCCAGCAACCCACTCATCTCATCATGGACCTATGGGCCTGATCTCATTGTGTGGCGCAGCAACTTTCTTTGTAGGAGCTGCACTTCTGAGCAAATGGTGATTTGATATTTTTTACCAGTAATAGCACATTTCAAAAATGTCATTGCCTATGGCAATAACTATTGCAGAAGCTGGAATAACGACTTCAGAAAAGTAACATAATTTATGGTGCAATTAATACTCTCCCACCAATACCTTTCTAAATATTTGATTCCTTGTTAGGCTGTTACGGCTTTTTGAGTTGGAGATAATTCTTGAATTACTATCTCTCAATAGTCTTAGTTTTACTTCCCTACAATTTAGAGCTGATAAAGTTAGTATTACTGTGGAATTTTGCCTTCTTCAAACACCACAGTTCATCCCTTAGATCTTATATTGGAATAATTCTGTTACTTAATGGTCAAAATAACATTTGTAATAAATGAAGAATCAGATATACAGTTCAATAACCCACCTGTAGGGCATCTATACTTTTGTTCTGCTGTGAAAATGACACCAAATCAGTGCTGAAACTGGATTTGCATGATCGTGAAGGGTTTTATTCTTCTCCAGTAGCTTGGTAGTCTTACCAAGAAAATGATTCTGACTGTTGCAGTATAAATGGAGCTTGTGCAATTCGATTCATTTTCTTGCTCAGCTTCCATTGAAATGGCCCCATAAAAGTTCTTGGTCGCCGAGTTCAACATTATACAGCCTTTTTTAATACAACATAACATGACGAGATTGTCTCTTTAACAATATCACAATTCTGAACTGCTGTTTGACTTTGGTTAGCAAAGCTCTGCAGAAGTGCTTGGTCGCACATGTAGAGAACTTTCCACAGATTCTTGATCAAAGTGATTTACAGCAGGGAGTGCAAATGCTGTTTATTGATGGAAACAATACAAATGGGATTAAGCTGCCCTCTTTCAAGTAATGACGTTTTTAACCTTTGGGACATCTTTCTCTTTGTGCCTCAAATGTTAACCGAAACTTGTCTTGATGTGAGCGCGTACCCATGACTATGGAGATTTTGTCAGCGTGTGAAATCCTGACCGGAAGTTAGTTTTTCTTTGCTAACACAATGACTGGAGCACGGTGGCCCCACACTGTTAGTATTGGCACAGCAGCAAAAAAACAATAGCCCTGTGAGGCTGCAAACTCACGCACTCTTTAAAGAGAACAATGAGGGTGCAGCTCCAAGTCACTGTGTCTCCGAAATTGTACTTTCTCCTTCCTCTTCTCCCCCCCCCAACCACTATTATGGGGCTACTGTGACTAGCCAGATTTAGGGTGGGATAGTTGTAAATGGCTTCCGTCACATAAGGGATGCTTCTCATCATTAAAGTTGTGTCCATTGTGACCAGATAAAATAATAACAATAATCTTTGCTAGGTAAAATGTGTTGATTTGCAAGAGTCACTTAATGCTTTTGTGCTGTTGGGCTGTAAATAAATGCAAGAGAAATTGCTGACTAAACAAAATGCTCAACTTTATTCCATTTAGAGGAAATTAGACATTTTTTGAGGTACAACTAATCTCAAAATATTTTATGTGCCCATCTGAGCAAGTAAGGAATAAAAATAGAAGTTTATTTTAGATAAGAATGCATTTACATCATAGTCTTCAACTCAGTAATATCTAAAATCAGATTTAATTTGAAAGCACCATCCTTTTTGTTTTTGAGAGGATTGAAATTAAGTGAATAAATATGCTTAATTGTAGATTCATAATAACATTAATTATGTCTTTTTTTAAAGATACATCCGAATTTCTTTGCTGCCATTTGACTCCAACACTGCATTTACTTTCTGCTCCAAGCCTTTGGAATTTCAGGCACTCATAACTTACAGCGAATCTTTTCCAATACTTGTCCCAGCTAGTGTGTTGAGGCTGAAATCTCTGCAACTGGACATATGTTCCATTGACCAACAGATACAAGAAGACCTACTGGTAAGTGCTAATTTCAATGACTACCTGCTTATATACTTGCTGTAGTCTCCAGTGGTATCTGTAGTCCAGTTCCTAAACCAGACAATCCACAGTTCCCCCAAGACATTGATGATTATCAGGACTTGAAGGAGCAGACCAGTCACTGGAAGCTTGAATTCATTGCATTCAGCCCTTGTTAACTCTACAAGCTGATGCCTTACATTTTAGGATGATCGTAGAAAAGGACAAGGGCGAGAAGTTGGCACGCAATATTCAAAATGGTTTTAGCTGGCTAAACTCTCGCAGTATCCCAATGCACATTCTAAATTCCCTAATCCTTGCCTCTTGCTAACTCCCAGCAGGAATGGGTGCGCAGGATATGTTCTTCCAAGAGTGTACATACATCATGCCACACAAATAGAAACCATGCACCCGCAAAACTCTCGGAGACTTGGTTTGGAAACTCCTAAGCATGGTGATGGGTTTCCATATGTGGCAAACACTTGACTGACCAAAAACAAATAATATTTTGTTGTACTGAGTTTTTGATAAACTTGAGAGTTGTAAGTTACCTTTGTTAGTGAATTCTTGTATAAGAAGATCATTTTGTTAATTGAAAAAACTGTAGAATTTTACTTGGATGAAAGAATTAGGAATGGTTTCATCAATTAGCTCATATCTGACATCTTACATTGATTAGTAATTAATGTAGGAACAAGTAGATTAAAGGTATAGACAGTTTCCTGAAGCTGGCTATTTTTTGTGCTGAATTTATATTGCACATTTGGCAGCAAATTGCCAGTGTTGGTGGTGATTTGAACTCACACAATATAAACAGAGAAGTAACGCAGACCCATTGGCTGTTCAAAATGCTCAGTTTTTCATGGGTCAAACAGCCTGGGAACTTTATACTTTTTCTTTAATACCATTGAAGAGCAAATTGCACATTGTTTTTCTTTAAGAACATTTTAAAACAAACTTGATTTTTTTCTGAATTCTGAAGTGTTACTTTTTTTTGTCCAATGTAGATTAGGAAGCTAAAATCAAATAATGTGGTTTTTGTCCCAGTGGCATAACATAATGAACTTGTTATTATGCTGAATGGAACAAATTGCACTGCCCAATCCAGAATGGAATGTCTCAATGCATGATATAAAAGCCAGCAAACCAAAGTTGTGTCTTAAATGTTGATCTATTTGTGCTTATTGCCTTCTAACTTGCAATCTTTTATTTGATTAGGGATTTGTGCAGATAAGTCTGGCTGACTTTGAAAGACCAAGTGAAATGCTGCTTCAGTGGTATCATGTGGCAACCTTCACCCGCACAGGGGTACAACTTCAAAAAAATAGCAGTCAATTCTGTGGATTTTTACCCGTTGGAAAGTTAACAGACAGTGAAATGAAGGTATGTCTGAACAGGCGTTGATGCGTCTTAAAGATAATCAGTTCATGTACTGACAAAGAACAGTGGCTGCTGTGAAATGATAGCTAATCTGTACAATTCTGATAAACATTAGTGGTGATTGAATCTAGGTGACACAGACTGGTAGGCACTAAGTAACATGGACTGGGAGGCGTTCCACAAGAACACATCAATTGAGGGTAAAGAGCATCCTTCAAAAACATAAAGAGCATACAGGCCGAGTGCATACCTCACTGCAACAGGGAAAATTAAACACGAATGCTCCAAAATGGATCAATGGAAAAATAAATGGAGCTTAATGCAGAGGAAGATTTACAAAGGAAGGAGAGTGTCACCATTGGAATCAATACAGGATTGTACAAAGAGTTTTTTTCTAAAATAGGGTGCCAAGAGAGAACTGGAAAGGGACATGGCAGCAAACACAGAATATATTGCAAAATTATTCTTTCAATATTATGACAGGAAGTGTGCAGTTAGGGAAGGAGTTAACTCCCTAAGGTAGTAAAGAGCATTGAAAAAGAGAATGAACTGAAGACAGTGACCATATTAAGCTTGTCAACTTGGATCAGTTAGTAGTGCTTTCGACTTTGAGACAGAAGATTGTGGGTTCAAATCCCATGACTGGAGCTTTGAGCTCACAGTATAGGCATGAACAGGCAGGTGGGACCTTGTGTCATCTGAATGACAGTACATGCAGCAATACAGCACACCCCTAGTACTGCAATGGAGTGCCAGCCTAGACTATATGAATTCTGGATTTTATAATAAGGAGGTTATGAATGTAAAGCTATGGCAATAGTATAGAACGGTTGCCAGACCCCTTTTACAGTATTGTATCCAGTTTTTGTGCTCAACTTTAGAAAGGATACATCATCTATGTAGGGGTGCAGGGATGATTCACTTGATTAATGTCTGAAATTGTGCAGAAATTAGATTAAAATATTGCCATGGTCTAAGAAAATGGCAGAACTATTCAACAGGTTGAATAGCATACTCGTTCTGATATTTCTATCTCATGTAAAATTACCAATAAAATTGTTAATAGTAAAATCAATAGTAGTTAAAAGCAGACCTCTAATGAATATCCTTATCTGAGTTAATTTGTGGTGTTGTGTGCTCAATGCTTGGATTTATTTTCTGTTTTGTTGCCATATTTAATGTATTGAGTATTAATAATTATTTTCCCATTCAATGAAGGATGCCGTGTCAATGCTTTTAGCAAGAACCACAGCCCAGCTGGAAGCAGTGGAGAAACAGTTAGAGGAGGAGAGAGTGAAATTAGGGTGCACAGAGGAAGAAATCCATGAAGAAATGAAGGAAGACAAAGCTGAGGCAGTGTCAGAAAGGTGCTCACTTTTTTCTGTTTCAGCTCCAAACTGAAACGTCCACAAATCATTGTCATAAAGTTTTAAATCTCTTTTAGCTGGTTCCAGGGCTTGACACAGATCTGCTCCTGTCACTTTAAACAATTTTGGATTTCTGTGAAGACCTCACCAGGGGCTTGGTTAGATACTGTATAGTAACTTGCAGCACGGGCTACTTTGTTTGCATGTAGTCATAACGTTTAACTGGTAGCATAATTTATACATGTTAAGTCATGTTATTATTCTGATGGCAGATTGAAGTCGAATGTGCTGAAATATTAATTTATCTATCCTGCAAGAAACAATTTGAAATGAGGATCGGCATTTGTAGTTCCTGGTCTAAAATTAGACTGGCTGGTGACTGAGAGAGCTCTGCGCATGCGCAACTTAGGCAGCGTTCCACTAACTGGCACTGATATCATTTGATTAGTTATTTGATAGCATTAAAAATGACTCCTTGAAAGTTCTAGTGGGGGAGTGGGGTGTCCGCCACACAAGATCTTTTAAGGGGCTATTTTTTGAGAGATCAATGCAAGTTTTACCAACTACGTTTGTATTGTACTCCAAATGGCTCAAATCAATGATCTGGCAAAAGCAACTTCCTGGATACTTTCAACAAGCATGATTCACTTCAAGGCATGAGACTGATTTATACATCAATCTGATCGACACAATTTGCTACCATGTCACATAAGCAGCATTATCCATTCTGTTTCTCTTCCCTTTCTGTCTAAATTAGCATAGATAATTTCTAACATGATTCATACCAAATTATAACCTAATCCTTCATATGCTATTAGCTAATCATACATTCGCCTGCTTTAGTGATGCATTGTTATTTTATGTTTTGTTGAAACGTTTTTGAATAAAGTACAATAAATCTCCAAATATCTGCATTGCCACTTATCTGCATCAGGCTCACGTGCAATTTTATCAGCAAAAAAAAGTTTAGTTGTGTGCATGCCCCCAAGCTTCCCAGGAATTGAATTTAGCAACATAGCGCTATTGATCCAGTGACATGAGATAAGTGTGTTTATTGAGCAATTTTTTTAATAGGTAGTGTGTAGGGTTAGGCTCAGAAGTGTGAAAGATAGAGATTTAGAAACAGGGAGACAGACAAATTCAGAGGGAGAGAACGTTGTTAGAGAGGGAAAGAGTCTCAGAAAGAGAGACAGATAAAGGGACGAGAGGGAGCAAGGGAGAGTAAGTGAAAATATGAGGTTAGCACAATGTAGTACTTTAATGGCTGTATAACTCAATGTTTTCATTAAGCACTGCAGCTAATTTATACTTTGCACATTGAGCCATTATTGGCTTTCTTTGGTGAGCCATTGATTTACTGGCGTAATGAAAATATTAAGATTGCATCTTGTTCCAAAAAATGAATTGTACGAAAACAAGAAAATAGAAATTGACGACAACTTTATTGTAGGAGCTGGCAGGCTGAGTCGGTGGACAGTGGCTGCAGCAATAGTGCCCAGCTCAGCCCACAATACCCTGCAATGGAGCAGTTAAGTGCTGAGGATGGAAATGGTGCCCAGCTGCATGAGTTTGCAGAACAAGTGAGCCTGTTTGCTGCTATTAGAACAAGAGTTCCACCAATGAAGGTACGTACCAGGCTTAGCGTTGCATACAACAACAACAGTAATAATAACAACTTGTATTTGTATAGCACCTCTCATGCAGGGTAGCATCCCAGAGAGCTTAACAACAACTCAACAACTTGCATTTATAGAGTGCTCTTCATGCTGGGTAGTGCTTCAGAGCGCTTAACTGTTGCGAGGACATTGACATTAACAGAGGACGTTGAGGCCTCACAGCTGAGCAACATGCTGTCCTCACCCTACATCCACACCTGTTCAGCTTGTAGCATTGGTCTCTGGATCGGAGCCATGGCTATGAATCCTTCTCTCATGTGCAGAGATTCCTAACAGGTGAATGAGGCTAAACACATAACAGTTACTTGCATTTTTATAGTTCCTATTATGTCCAAATGGTTCAGCACTTTAAGCATCATTATAAATTGTAGCCACTTTTATAGGCAAACACAGTGGCCATTTGCACCAGAAAGGTCTTGCAAGCAGAACCAAGATGAAGGCCCAATTTGTCAAGAGGATTATTAGTCAGCGCGGTTTATTTTAAAAGCATTGTTACAGTCCACCTGAACAGACAGACAAAACTTTTGTTTTAGGTCTGACCCAAAAGACAATGCAGCATTTCCCCTTTATCGCACTGAAACATCAGTGCAAATTAGTAGTTTAAATCTATTCAGTTATCTGCATCACAAATAATTCATGAATGCAATTGTGAGAAATAAGAATGAATTCTGACTACACAGTCACTACACTTTACAGTAAATCCTGTGAAGATTTTTCGATGATGTGAAAAGGAACGATATCAAATGCAAGGATTATTTTTATTTAACGGCTTCTCCTCCAGCCCTCGCACGGCCATGTACAGCATTCCCGGGGCTCTGTCCTTGGTCCTCTCCTCTTTAATATTTACATGCTCCTGCTCGGTGATATCATCCACAGGCATGGGGTTAACTTCCATATTGGGCATGCAATAATACACAAATCCATCTTTCGGCCTCCACCATTGACTCCAGGACCACTGCTGTGCTGACTGATTGTCTGCCAGATGAGTCTTGGATGAGAGCCAACTTTCTTCGGTTGAATATCGACAAGACTGAGGTCTTCCTGCTTGGCTCTCTCACCTCAGATGCTGACAGCATCACTATTCACAGTTGCACTCTCCACCTTACAGAGCTAGTATGGATCCTTGGTGTCTTGTTTCACCCTCAACTTTTCTTTAAATTCCACATCCGTGCCTTGATCTGTTCGGCCTTCCCCCACCTCTGCAACATTGCCCACTACCAACACTAGCTCTCTGCTTAGGCCACTTAGACACGCATCCATGTTTTCATCACATCCAGGCTTGACTATGCTAACTCTCTACTCACCGGCCTTCCCAACGATTCCCTCCACAAGCTGCAGATTATTCAGAACTCTGCACCTCGTGTCCTCTCCCGCAACAAGCTTCGTGAGCCAATCACCCCCATCCTCACCCGGTTCCACTGGCTCCTCATCCTCCAGGGGATTGAGTTTAATATCCTTGTCCTCACTTTTAAAGCCTCCACCATCTTGCCCCTCCCTCTGCGATCAACCTGCCCGCTCCATTCGCTCGGCGGCCACTGGCCTGCTCCATGTTCCCTGTCCTACCCGCCCCACCATTTGTGGTCAGGCCTTAACCTTTCTGCCCCCCCCTCCCTCTGGCACTCTATCTTGGAGTTCTTCTTCTTCTCCTCACCCCTCCCTTTTCTCCTTGAAGGCCCATCTCAAGACCTTCCTCTTTGACTGTGCCAACAGTTTGTTGTATTATTTTAATGAAACAGTTAGGGTAAAAGTACATTGATATCACTGAATGAATTATATTGATTTGTTGTTTGTTGCAGGTGGACAAAGGGACCAATACTGAAGAACCTTTTCCGGAAGAGATTGGAATTCGACCAAAAGAAAGGAGCAGTCGCAGATCGCGTGGATCTCCTTTTGTTCGTAGTAGTACCATTGTTCGGTCACAGACATTCTCACCGGGAGCACGGAGTCAGTATGTTTGCAGAGTGAGTAAGACTATGGAATGAATGGCTATAATATATTGCATGGCCCACATTTTTCCCTATCCTTTATCTGACATCCTTTAATGCCCAAGATGGGGATTGTAAACATAGTGGTGACTCTCATATGTCACACCAGCTCTCAGAAGTTCTGCTCCGAGGTGATCTTGCATTAGAGCAGAACTCTTCTGGATTCTACACAGGATTTCCTGCACCATAGGCACTCGAATCCCAGGGCCCTTTCTCCAGTGTTTGTTACATTTACATTGCCTGGCTGAAAATGCTTTTATGCTTCATATCATTCATTACGAATGTAGAAGATCCATTTGATTGAGAAACAATGAAAATATATTTGAGAATGATATGATTTTCAGTAAATATTGACAACATGGGTTTAAAATTGTCTGAGGATGTGATATGTTGTACAGAATGTGGTGATAGTTGGGGTGGACAGAGAAGAGGGAGAGCATGTTCATTCACCCATTGTTCGCCCACAAAACACTCAGTCACTCCACTTTAGAATATATCCTGTGAAGCGCTTTCAGACGTCCTCCTGATGCTCTACCAAGTGTAAGGATTATTATTATTACTGGATAAATAATTGTAAAGTGAAACCATTTCCATTTTGGATGGATCATAGTTTGGGGGAAAGGTTGAATATTCCTGTCTACATTTTTCTTTAGGAATTTTTTTGTATTAAATAACTTTAATTAGCACCAAATGTAAAATCTTTATGGCTGTGTTTTTAAATAGAAACTATTATCTCCTGCGTGGGTGTAAAAAAAAGAAGCTGCTTCTTAAATGTAAGCTAGTGTCCCTAGCACTTTCTTACTCCTCCAACCTGATCACACTCCACTCCTCTACTCATCAGCTTCAATCAGCCGACTTGGGCCTTCAGCAAGTCCCTTACCCCCTCTGCTCCAGCAATGGCAGCTGTGCCATTTCGGCCACTGTGCTCTGAACCTCTGAAACCCCCTGCCTCAATTCCTCTGCCTTTGTCCCTCTTTGTCTGTCTTCAGATCGCACCTGAAGAATTTCTGCTTCAACTGCGCCTACAGTCACCCCCCTTTCTCCCCGGCTCGGTGTCAAACTATACCATTGTTAAGCACATTGTTAAAAGAAGAGCTTTATATAAATACAAGCTGTTGTTGTTGTTGTTGAGAGTGCAGACTAGACATGGCCCCAGCCAAAAATTAATACTGAGTAATTATTTTCCAAAACGTGTTATTAATTAGAATATATTTGGCAGCTAAATTCCCTTTCCTAGAATGTCCAGTTAAGTGTTTATGAATTCTATGGAGAAAGATTATGAGAACATCAAAGATTACAGAAGGACTTGAATATCTGTGGGTAGTTACGTAGGTGGAACTTTAGAAATTCTTAGCTGAAGCAGTCTTTTAAAATTGAACAAAGACAGTTATACAATTAAGTTTCTTTATAAGCCTGCCTTTGAGTGTGTGTGGGGGGCGGGGGGGTGGAGTTGGATTACTATAAATCAACTTTAGTGCTCAATTTGGATCTAGATAAGCTCTGTGTTTGAAAATAGACTTTACATCCCTCCTATTGCCTACCAGGAAACCACATATTTGATCAGTTAGTCATGTCTGAAGTTTCATCATAACCAAATAAAATCCCTATCCCCTGAGAAATGTGGAAATGCACCTTCACACTTGCTGCATTTATTCCTACACACCATTGATTTGATACCCATGCTGTAAATCTTAAATCACAAATTCATTTCAAGCTTCATTGTATATTTCAACAGAAATGAGGATGGATTTTTGTGAAAACTAATTTTATGTCTAGACTATATGCTCAAAGTAATGGAGAGAATCTAAAGTGATAATCTGCAGTCTACAGGAGCACATCACACAAGACTTGAAATTGATTGATATCATCTCTGAAAATAATGATCGTTTTCTATATTTTTGCTTCTTATTACAGTTGTACCGAAGTGACAGTGACAGTTCAACACTCCCCAAAAGATCCCCGTTTATCCGAAATACATTGGAGAGACGCACTCTACGTTACAAACAGGTATGTTGCTGGGATTTGATTATGACACATATGTCTAATGGACTCTTGTCTTTATACAGTATTTGAATTCAATCAGTCTAAAAACTCTTGCTCAATTTCACATACCACATTTTATAATTATTTCTTGATCTTTATCATGGTTTAATGCAGTGATGGCCAACTTTTATGCTTGACCAAAAAAATTAATTTTCTTGATTGAATATTTCTTGAATGATACCATGAATCAAGAAATGGTCAATCAAGAAAAAGAATTATAACATAAGATCGAATACATGTTGACAGACCTGTGGGCCACAAGTGGCAACCATTGATTTAATATTTCTTGAAATCCATGCTCCTGATCTCCTCACTCTCTCTCCCTGCAATTGAAAGTCTGAAACTGACCCAAAATGCAATCTAAACAAATATTAAACATGAACCTATGCATATTATCCTGTTGGGGAATCATGCCCAAATTGCAATTCAATAACTAAGCTGAGGTAACTGAGATTTATGACCTAAATTGAACAATGTAATATAGATTACGAATCTATTTAGTAATTTTCTATCTTTAATCCAATTGAATTACACAATTGCACCTTGCAATACAAGTTTCATAGGCTTTTCATTATCTTAGATGAAGCATATTCACATACCAAAATTAACAAGGATAGAGCATCAAGTAGTAATAATAATCCTTGCATTTGATGCAGTGCTTTATCACATCTTCAAGATATCTCAAAGCGCCTCACAGAATATACTGTAAATCTGCAGTTGTTTATACATTGATAATGTCCAGTGCAGTAAAACTGATTAATGAACCACAGATTATGTGGTTCAAGGAAAATTGATTTCCTTTTACCCTCCCAACAACCACATTTAGAGCAGAGTTCTTGCAAATTGTAGTATGCGCTTCTGGTGAATGGCAGCAGTTGCTAATGATGACATGCTTTCATGGAAATCTTCTAACCTCATACAGCCTGATATACAGCTATATGTACTTGCAAGGAATTATATGAGCAGGAGTAAATTTTGATAATGCAATGTATAACTACAATAATTATTTTAAATAAATGATTAGAAAATAAGTAATTCTAATCCTCAGGAGTTGCCACTGTGGGCTGGAGAGCACTGATGCTGACCTGTGTCTATTTCATTGTTATTTATTCAAGTTGCTTCAGGATTTAGAGAAGCAATCGCTTGAAACTTTTAGGGAGAAACACTCAAACTGACGCTTTTGCATTTATCTTTTAGCTCTTATGCATTTATTTAGTCCAGCGCAAAATGTAGAAGCATGGAATTATACAGCTCAGAAGGAAACCATTCGGCCCATCGTGTCTGTGCCTGCTCTTTGAAAAGAGCTATTCAATCCCACTCCCCCGTGCTCTCCCCATAGCCCTGCAAACTTGTTCTCCCCAAGTAATTATCTAATTATCTGCTGCTCTTTCATAAGAAAATGTACTTGGTCAGACAGGCACAATGGCAATTGTGTTACGTTGGCAGCTATCGCACTGTTTAGACATTAGAAGACCAACATCTGCCATCTGTGATTGTTATAACAAGGCTTTTGTTATCTTTCTCTGAAAGTTGGGGAGCGATTATGGCAGATAGTTGGGTTGAATATCCCATCCCTCAGTGGATAGAATTCGAAATCCTCATCCTCACTTTCAAGGCCCTCCACGGTTTTGGCCCCTCCTACCTCGCTGACCTGTGCGCTACCTCCGTTCAGCAGGCCTGCTCCATGTCTCCGGCCCGACCCGCCCTACCATCGGTGGCCAGGCTTTCAGCCTCTCTGCTCCCACCCTTTGGAACTCCATCTCACAATCCCTTTGCCTTACTCCTTCCCTTGGCTCCTTCAAGGCATGACTCAAGATCCTCCTTTTTGACCATATCTTCAGCCGCCCACCTATCGCTCCACCCTCCCTCATCCGAACTCTGCGCCCCCCTCGCTCCGGTCCTGATCCCTGACAGTTCAGGATCTTGGGACATCCTCCCGATGTGAAAGGCGCTTTGCAAATGTAATGTTGTTATTGTTGTTGTTGCTATTGAAAGAATGCACCTCAGGAAAATAACAGCGTAAATGGTAATTTGGACTGGAAAACAATTGTATCTCTTCCATGGAAACCCAGATACATCACATGGACCAGGAGATCTTGACTCCAAACCAGCATCTTTCTCGAGATAAGCCTGAATGGCTTATCCCTGCAGAAAATTCTGATTGAACATTATGGGCACTTTTCTCTATGGCTACGGGCTAGTTACTCTGTTACTCTGTTCGGGTGCTTTTTTCAACCCCAGTGTTTGAATTGTCAACAACCCTAAAACATACAAAAGGTGTAGATTAAATAATTATAGTTTGATATCAATTTTTTGTTGTCCATTTTGTTTGGCGTAACCTGAAAAAGTGGCAAATGCAAATTCAGTTGCTGTGAAATTCTAACATTTTCAAGTGAGATATCCTGGTGCCACATGAAACAAAACGTGCTGAAATGTGGAGAGTGCAGAATAATCTTTAGAGGTGCTTTTGTATGTTCCAGCCATCCTTCAAAACTCCATTGGTTGAACACTCCACAAGAACATCCCTGGACTTGGAGCTGGATCTCCAAGCATCTAGGACTAGACAGCGGCAACTGAATGAGGAGTTGAATGCACTACGAGAGCTAAAACAGAGAATGGAGGAGAGCCGGCTTCGGGGACAAAGTGATCTGCCCCAGTGGATTCTGAGAGATGAACGGTTCAAAAATCTCCTGAAGGAAGCAGAGAGACAGGTGAGGGAAAGCACATTTTTCAATCTATGAACCATATAAATGTGAGTTACAGATGCAATAAAGGAACACTGGTTGCCATGGTTTGTTGAATCAATAGTTACGAGATTCATGAATTTTCAAAATGGTGTCTAATTAGCGAGATTTGTAAAATCATTTGGAAATGGCAAGTCCTGCAGATAATCAGATGCTTCTCGGGCTGAATTTTCCAAATAAAGTTCAGGTGGTGATTGCCTTTGACTGCAATCTGGCTTCAGGGTAGTCAAAGGTGATATTGGTGTCCCAAATGGAGTTTCAGAAACCTGAGAGTCATTCTGGTACCTGCTGCAGAGACGCCCATTCCCGGTTGCTTCCCTATCACTCATTGCCTGGCAGCTTCATGTTAAACTGAACAAAATGAGGGATCAAACCTAATCCTCCCAGTCCCAGCATGATCTGCTGGTATTCCAGTTCGTGTTCCCACTGCACAGCACCAATCTAGCCGTACTTTAAGTGTGTAATTACTGTGCTATTGTAGTTTATAAATCTGTCTTTACAAAGCAACATTGAGACTTTCACACCAAATGCTGGTAGTGGCCTAAAAATGACATGTGCCTGAACTACTATTATACGATAACCCACTTTTATAAATATCTGATGCACAATATGTGTAATTACAGTAACATGAAATTGCTCTTTTTCTTTGAAATGACCGGCAGGCAAAACAAACAAAGTCTGAACAAAGGCAAGAGCAGGCAGCTGAGAAAATGTTGAAAAAAGCAACCAAGGAAGTGTATCAGCTACGTGGAAATAGCCAAAAAGAGCCCTTGCAGGTTCAGTCATTCAGGTAAGAAACTGAGTATGAAAACATCACAAAGGAAGCTTTGGAGCGATATATCAGATTGGGAAAGTAAACCCAGAACAATATTTTTAGATATGATAAGGACGTCATCCCAACGTGAAAGGCCCTATACAAATGTAATTTTGCATTCTAACAGGACAAAGGGCCACAGGTTCAGGGTTGTGAAGAGCAATTTAAGGACAGACAACAGAAAGTATTTCTTTACACTGAGGGTAATTAACGACTGCAACATGGTTGAGACCAGGATGAATGACTCATTTGAGAAAGAACTTGATACTATCATTGGAGGACACCAGAGTGGGCATTCTGGAAGGAAGAGATCAAATGGACAGAATGGTCTTTGCATTTTTATAGTGCTCTTCACATAGAATAATATCTTGGAGCGCTGTATAATGACGGGGTTAGTCGCTGAGCAATGGAGAAGCGGAAGGTTCAAAGAGGTAGGTTTTCAGGTGGAATTTAAAGATAGATAAAGATTGGCTGAGGCAAAGGGGTGATATAGGGAGTTCCAGGGAATCGGTGCACTCCTCTGCTCCCGTCCCCAACTTAGGTGTCCATCCAGCACTGTGAATACTTTGAGACATCCTCCTGGCATGAAAGGCATTATATAAATATAAATTACATTGTATCATCACTGTGGAGGTATTTGTTTTTTTTGAACTATTCCACTGCCCGTTATGACTTATAAATAAGAGGATGAGCAGTCATATTTTGGTGAGTGATAATAGCAATTTCAATATAAAAGGAGGGTCTTCTTATTCAGTTACATAGAGAAGTGAAATGTGTTCTTTCAGTGGAGCTGTAACCCAATGACAATCTCTGTCCTTTGGAAAATCCAAAATGAATGCCCAGCTCCCATTCAGTCTGTGGCTTAGACTTGCCCCTAACTTACCTTAATTTACTAAATAGTAATACTATTTATATGTTGTCAGGTGTCAGCCTGGTTCAGTTAGTAGCACTCACCTTGGAGTCAGAAGGTTGTGATTTGAAGCCCCATGTCGGGATTTGGAATTGCATAGTCTGACGCCCCCAATGCAGTGCTGTGGGTGTTCTGCATTGTCGGAAATGCCGTCCTTTGGTTGAGACGGTAATCTGAAGTCCTGTCTGCCTGCTTAGATGGATGTTAAAGATCCCACGGGACTATGAAAAGAGAAGGGAGTTTCTCCAAATGTTCTGGTCAACAATCCTCCAAGTAAAATTTGTCATTTAATGGATGTTTGTGGGAGATTGCTGTGCGCAAATTGGCTGGTCAACTGCCCACGAAAAACACAGTCACCGCACTTTATAGTATATCCTGTGAAGCACTTTGAGACGTCCTCCTGATGTTATAGGCTCTATACCAAATATAAGGACTATTATTAATAATAATTGAAACCATAACACTTCAAGTATTACAAGCAAATGCATTTGAAATGTCTATTTTATGTAAAACGTTTTGGATAAGACTGGATAGATTGTTCACGAAAGCAATGTAGATCACAAAGCCAGTCTCAATCTCACCCAGTGCCAAATTTTGAAGATTAACTGTTGTATTTGATTTTTCATAGAGAAAAGATGGCATTTTTCACTCGAACAAGAATCAACATACCTCCTCTGCCAGCTGATGATGTATGACACTTTACTATATTTTAAATATGAAGTATTTATCAATCTGTTTTATTCATGTTAAGTTACTAGAAAACCAGTAAGTGATTTTATTAAACATTCTTTCCAAGGGTTATTCCTATACACTTTTTTTNGTAAAAAGAAAAAGGAAAAAAAATCTATATACTTATATATTTTATAATTCTAGTAATTGCAGCAAGGCTTGGTTTATCCTTGTTGTGTAATTAACATCTCTGAAGGAACCGTATTATATAAAAAAACAAACGAAGCTTGTTACATATCTGTTCAGTTTTTATGTACTCTGATGTATGTGCGCTTAAAAGGCTGGAAGACAGAAACAAGGTCAGTTGAATCATGTCCACTGTAATATACGTTTCTTATTTAAAAAATGATTTTCCTTGAAGGAAAAGAACCTGTATTAGGTGTATTTTAAGACTATAAAGTTCTGCAGTATTTTGGGTACACTGGAATGAAACCGCAAACTGGCTTTGTTTCTGTTACCTGATGTGAAAACAACGTGTGCTGATTTTTAGTGTTACCTTTTATATGTTTTGAGTCACACATATAACATCAGCATTTTATATTATCCTGTGCCTTACACTATACGTAACATTGTATTCTTTACCACAACTTTGTACTGTATAAAAAATCTGCAATAACATCTTCCAATATTTTTACTATTAAATAAAAGTTTTATCAGTGAATGTGGAGAGGCTGCAGTGAATCTCTAGTTACGACAGGTGGTCTGCCTATATAAGTGATGCTCAGTGAAAAATGTAGCTCTTCATTGCCGTTGATGTATACAGCATTAGCTATGTTAAATGCAGGATTGTACTTTGTTGCGCTGAAATAAAAAGAAAAATTGCAGGTGTTAGAAATATGAAATAAAACCAAAACATTATGTCAATTCATAGCAGTTTGAACTACATCTGAAAGAGAAGACAGATTTACCATTTCAGGAGTGACCCTTCACCAGAAATTGTTTTCTTGTGTTTAAATCTGTTGTGATTGATGTACTTTACAGAATCAGAAATTTGCAATGAGGCTTCACTGGCTCTTAGAACACACTATTCATTCAATCCCACTGACCTGCCTTATCCCCTAGCCGTCACTCCTCTCTCTTTCATGTTTCTATCCACTTCCTTCTTCAAACTCATAATGGACTCTGCCTCCTCTACTACCTTACTTGGCATTTGGAAGCTCATACACTGTGCATCAGGAACAAGAAACAAAACACACAAAAATCTTTTTCATCACCATTACGAGTTAAATCTTCTGCTTTAAAGGAAATGTTGTTTGGAATAGGATTTTCATCTAAGTTGTTACCGTGGCTGCTCCACCACAAATATCAAGGAAGCTGGGCATATATTACAACAACAAGAACTTGTATTTATAAAGTGTCCTTCACATGGATGGAGTCCTTGGAGTGCTTTACAGTGGTGTGGTTGATGCTAAGCTGGAAAGAGAGAAGTGACCGAAGGCATGGTCGAAGAGGAAGGTCTTTAGATGTGATTTGATATTATATCGGAACATCAACTGAGGGTGGTACTTCCTGACATTCTGTATTTGTCTGATGCAAGAGAATAATAATTGTTCCACATAACAAATCTGTTAATTAGATGAATAATTAAATGCCACAGTCTGTTATCAGTGGGTCTAATGCTCCAGATTAGACCTGCGATCCTATTGAGGGTTTCAGACTACATCATAAATCAGACAGTAAAGCCAGCAACTTGTTTACTGTTTGAAAACCGAGGTCAAGTGACTCCTACCAAAAACTGACATGTCCAGTGCTGTTTCTGGTAACTACAATGTATTGTAAATCAAGTAATGTACATCTTACTATCTTACCCCTATGGCCAGTGTTACATTGATACATAACTGAAATAGTGTTCTATAGTAACAATTTTATTATTAACTGATATCTAACATAGTTACTGTGTAATGATTACCACTTTATGCTGCACTAAAGAGAAACAATGTAGACTAGACATATTAAACAAATCTAACCTCAAAATCACTGAATGGAAGGTGCTCTCATAAACTCACATAAGTCGTTTCAGTTGGGGCCATACATTTAATATGACTATTGCGAAGAATGAGTTATATGAAACTTGCATACGTTGTATGATTTCTGTAAACTTATGTATAATTCAGATATTATATGACTTACACATAACAAATACACAAGTACTGAACTGGCTGGTGACATTAAGGCAAGGTTTCTGTACCATGTTTAACTCATGCATTTTACAGCTATGGTAGCCCAATCTTTCCATATACAGTATTCCATACTACTGGCATGATTAATTTTCTTCTTGAGGTAATCATTCAAAGTCTGTGACTTCAAATCAAAATCGGAGGCAATGTCCTTTTTCATTTCAGGATTTGCCTTGCAAAATTGGAGAATCTGGTGCTTCCCCGATAGGCCCTTGTCACTAATTTGCATTTAGATGGACGATCTGCTTTGCCTGAAGGCTGCTCAAAACCTTGTCTTCTGTACTTGTTCACTGTTCTGTACTGCGCATGTGGTCGTTCAGCATTGCAGCCGGTAAGTGTGCATGACAGGTCAGGACTTACGTTCCCTGGATTGTATCACATGGAGCACTGCGTCTGCTGCTTCAAGGTTGGGAAGTGCGTATGGCGTGAAGGGTGCCTTTGCTCTCCATGCGATCAGACATTCCTCACCTCCTCACTTCCCACATGATCTGGTGACATTCCTTCCTCTCTCAGCCCCCCACCCCACTGCCGTGCATGATGATGTTGATGTTAACACCCCACGAAGGAGGGCGTGGAGAGTATCAGGGTGAATATGTGCGGTGTTCCATTTGAGGTAGGCACAGGAAACAAGGTTTTGACATGCCAAGCTGGTAAATTCATTAGCTATAGGCACGTTATGAGTTGTGCAATTATTAATACGACTAGTGTAGATAAATTCAAGTGGATTTAATAGGAAATTCAACGAAACTTGGGCAGATGTATGATTTATCCAGATCGGACTTAGGTGTGTTTTACTGTATAATAATAATATTCCTTGCAATGCCTTAACACATCATTGAGCTATCTCAAAGTGCTTCAGCTTTTAGCTCTAGCCTGCACTGTATAAGAAAATGTGTTGCTATGTCATTTGGCTGTGTATATGTCAAGCCTTTTCAATTGCTAATCAGCTTTGTGGCCACCCCTGCTGAGAGAATCCCATATGCTGAATGCTGGGCTCTATTCCTGGGTCTGATATATTAGAAGCTTGTCACATGCTGGTTACTGTTTCCTGCCAGTGACATCACTGCTGTTTTAGCTGTGCTATGAGGAGGATGGCAGGAGGAGCTCTCTGAACACAGTAAATGGTGCAGCGGTGCAGGTAGGGAGAAATATCTTCTGCAGGCTGAGACCGCCTCTGTTGCATGTTAAGTGCCAAAGAGGGTCAAATGCAGAACAAATTCAAGCACTTTCCTTTGAACTGGTTTAATTGTAGCTCCTCAGTGATATCACTGACTGACATATCACACAGATGACAGATGGAGCCAGACTATGGATAATTTGCTTTGCAGAGGCCTTTTGCTGCTGATATGATTGTGCAGGAATTTTAAACTGTAAAGTATGAGCGCTACAAAAATAATACAGGATCTGTGTATTCTTGCATTGAGTGGCAGCAGATGGCATGTTCGGTGAAAGGGGGATGGGAATGCAAGGGTAAGGAAACACTCCATATCTCAGGAGGATGCTGTCTGATTTCAAGCCTAGTCATTCCAGGCTGGAAGCGTAACCATTCTTTTGTGAAGGATGAATGGAATTAAAAGAGAACACATTTGCAAAACAACTTTGTGTAATAATGCACAATACAAAGGAAATACCAACTCATTTAAAAAGATTTGATGTGGATCAGCAAAGGTGTCACTGGTTGAACTGAGATTAAATGTTGTTATTCTATTACGAGGAGAAAGAGGTGGAGGAGTATAGGAATCACCGGCAAAAATAAATCATGCAATCTGTTGATGAAAATTTAATCATTCAGAGTTCAATGTTAACATAAAAAAGATGGAAACTTAAGAAATGGAATAGAATTGTTGCTTTTCTCCCATAATAATCACAAGTGCACAATTGGAGAACATTGGGAAAGCTTGCATTTTCTGCTCATATCTAGTACTTTTACTCAATTTCTTGTTGTTTTAGGGTCTATATCTCCAGGTGCCTCCCATCTAGGGCATTGTGCCTGTCTGTCCTATATTCAGGTGTTTGTCACTGATGGTCCGAGCTAGCTCTGAGCATGCAGATGTTGACAAACCTTGTGAGGTTTTCATTTTGCATCACTAACTTGATGCAATCTCTGTCCTGGGGACTTGTCTTTGGCGAGTGCCAATTTACGGTCTATTATGTTGGTTATGTCAGGGCTTTGAACTCACAGTCTTTGCTGATATTCCAGTGCACTGCTTTGTTGGAAATACGTTCTTCAGATGAGGCATTAGCCAAGCTCCCATCTGCCTGTTCAGGTGGAAGTTAAAGATCCCATGGTAGCACTTGAAAAAAAGAGTTTCTCCCAGTGACCTGGCTAACAATCTCCCAGATAAAATTGGGCATTGACTTCTTGGCTGTTTGTGGGAAATTGTTGTGCACCAATTGGCTGCTAAGTTCACCTATAAAATACACAGTCACCACATTTTACAGTACATTCTTTGAAGCGCCTTGAAACAAGGTAGGAGTCTGTTTATTATGTTTAAACAATGATTGTTTGTGATGTTTGTATACCCTGTATTATAATATTTAACATCAACAACACCATTTCTGTGGGAAGAATGAAAGTAATTGAGGTCACAATCAGAAAATTCCTGTTAGCCAGAATAACAGAAAGTTATTTGTTCTCAAAATCTGGAAAAATAGTTACTTAATCTAAACACAGAATTCTAAACTTGAGTCCTTTCCATCATTTAGAAGTCCCAAACCAAATAAAATTCTGATTCATGCATCTGATATTATTTTGTGCCTGTTGCATATCAGGATAGATCTGAAGTCAAACAAGTATTTGTTTAAACTTTAGAAGTTGCCAATCTAATTTAATTAGTTCAAACTCAGAAAACCAATGAAAGTATAGTTGTCTGGGACATGAAATCATTATTGTTAATTACATGCATGTGTCATCCTGTCATTGGCAAATTCCCAGCAAATATGTGATATGGAATATATTACTATTAATCCTGTATTTTAATAATAGTACATAATCATCCTTGGCTTATCACATTGTCAAAATATCTCAAAGTGCTCCACAGATGTGTATTGTAAATTGTAGGGATTGCATATTTCGTAGGTGAACGTGGCAGCCAATATTTGCACTGCAATGTTCCACAAATAGCCATGAAGTGAATGATCAATTTTATCTGGAGGATTGTTACCGTGAGTAGCATCCGTAATTTTTTGAATAGTACCATGTGATTTTTAATGTCCACCTGAACAGGCAGAAAGGAACTTGGTTTAACATCTCATCCAAAGGATGCATCTGATAATGCAGTATTCCCCTAGTACTGATACCATTGATCCAAGGTGAGTTAGTAATGGAAAATTGCAGTTAATTGAGAATAAATTGTTGAAATTTGGAGTATAATTTGTTTTCAAATAACGCTTTGTAAAGTAACGGCAACAGTTGGGATTTAACTTTCAGCTTGAAAATAAAAGGACAATCAACTCCGACATGAGGAAGAAGAAATTTTTTTGAGAGAATCTGTGCAAAAGATCTATTACTTAGGAACCACGGCAGCCGGCACACATGATGTCAGACTGGGTGCCAAAGGTCCGCATTTTCTGCTCCCACAGTCTCCCTAGGGAGCCTGTTCCATAAGTTTACTACTCGTTCATTATGTTAACTGGCATGCAGTGTGCTTTTTCTCCTCAAAATTATACTTCGTAACCTATTATTGTTTGTGTGAATGTGTGGATTTTCCTGCAATCTTACACCTCGCAGGTCAGATGGTTATAATCCAGCTCCAGCTGTGATGACACACATAATTGTTCTTCAGGAGACTTTGTATATCTGCACAGCCAGCACACATTTTTCAGGAATTAAACCGAGAGGGAAAAGTATCCTGTATAAACATAAAGGATGATCAGAGGATAAAGTTCAGAAGTTTGCTGAATTTCAAATAGTCTCACATTGCATACATGTTCACGGTTCATCCACACCTTCCCATCGATTGCAACTTTTAGGTCTTTACAAAGCAGTGAGAATGAGAGGTCTGCGTACAATAGATCCTAGATATATCGATGCATTAAAAATTACACCCAATAATTTATTGGTCTGTAGGATATGTTTTACATAAGAATATAAGAATTAGGAGCAGGAGTAGGCCATTCAGCCCCTCGAGCCTGTCCCACCATTCGATAAGATCATGGCTGATCTTCTGACCTAACTCTAATTACCTGCCCTATCCCCATATCCCCTAATGCCTGTTTTTTAAAAATCTATCAGTCTCAGCCTTGAAGATGTTCAAAGACTGAGCATCTACAGCCTTCTTCTACCCTCTGAGTGAAGAAATGTTTTCTCAACTCTGTTCTAAAAGACTGACCCTTAATTTAAGACTGTGACCCCTGGTTATAGATTCTCCTACCAGGGGAAACAGACCTTCAGTGCCTACTTTATCCAGCCCTTTAAGAATCTTATATGTTTCAATAAGATCTCCCCTAATTCTTCTGTACTCTAGAGAATATAGCCCTGGTTTATTCAGCCTATCCTCACAGGTCAGTCCCCTCATCCCAGGAACTAACCTAGTGAATCTACGCTGCACCCCTCTAGGGCAAGTATGTCCTATTTTTAAATAAGGAGACCAAAACTGCACACAATACTCTAGGTGCGGTCTCACCAAGGCCCTATAGTTGCAGCAAGACTTCCCTACTCTTGTACTCTAAACCTTTTGCAATGAATGCTAACATGCCGTTTTACTTAGAATTTCCAGGTAATTAAGTACAGTGTTATGAGCTGTCACTCAAACATTATGGATTGCTATTGCAGTCATGTGGAGGTGAGGCTGACACCCACCGATGGTACAAAATGAACAAAGTATGGACCAAATCCATTTTTTGTAAACCTCTGGTTTACCGGACTCTGGGTATACAGAATTTGTACCAAACGGGAGTGGGCATGAAACGGAAATATTTTTACAAATTCCCATGGACCCACATGTAGACTCCTTCCGGCCCATGACCTCAACTAGGCAAATTCTCATCCATTGTAAAATCTTATAGCTGTTGCCCCGAGTTGAGCATTGCAATATGCAGCAGTGATCTATCATGACTGTCTGTATCATACTCCATACAAAAAACACAATTGAAGATCACAGTTATACTGTTCAGTTGAATTGGAGTCTTTTGTGTGAAGCTTGTGAATATTGTTTGGCTAATGTTTATATTCATGAAAGAATATCAAACATTTCTGGTGGCTGTAGTATGTTGTAATTATAATAACAATCCTTCCCTTTTATATAACACCTTTCACATCAGGAGGATGTCTCAAAGGGTATACATGGTAACAGGATGTATTGTAAAGTGTAGTGACTGTATTTTGTAGCAGTTTGCACACAGCAATGTCACATAAATGACCAATGATCAATTTTATTTGAGGGATTGTTGAGCAGGACCCTGGAAAAATTCCCTTATCTTTTTAAATAGTTCTATGGAATTTTTAACATCCACCTGAACAGGCAGATGGGATCTCAGTTTGATGTCTCATCCAAATGATGACACCTCCAACAATGAAGCACACCTCCAGCAGTGCCCTGAAGCCTCGACTTGTGAATTCAAAGTGACGGAGAAGGGAATAGAAGGGTATGGGAGATGGTAAGGAGTGGGTGGAGAAATATAAATCATGTGAAATATAAACACAGGCACGGATTAGGTGGGCCGAATGGCCTGTTTCATACTGCACAATCTATGGACAGCCTCAAAGTGCGGCTTGACCCCACTGCATTCCTTGTCACAGGTGAGATTGCTTAGAAACTGAATCAAGCTGACACCTGATTAATTAAGCATCCAAGATTCTTGGCTGATCATTGGCAAATAAAGATCAATAGACATCAGTACAAGAGGTTGGGGCAAAATAAAGGGAGTTTTACTGTGCATCTACAATAACAAAATATAAGAACATAGGAATAGGAGGAGGCCATTCAGCCCCTCGAACATTTTCCGCCATTCTATTAGAACATGGCTGATCTGTACTTCAACTCCAAATACCTTCCTTTTGCCCCATATCCCTTGATACCCTTATCTAACAAAACATCTATCCACCTCAGACTTGAAAATTTTAGTGGATCCAGCATCCACAGCCTTTTGGGGAGAGAGTACCAGATTTCATGCATTTTGATATCGTGCCTTAACATG